TATCAGAGCCTAAGAAATATATATATATATATATATATATATATATATATGTAGTTTACTCAGCACTCCATTCTAATGGCTGGAAAGCCTCAACAGCACAGCACTGCTCTGCCAAGAGCTTCTCACAGCATGGCAGAGGAGCAGACCAAGAACCAAGAGCTGAAAACCCACCACACACACGAGTCCCACATAGGAGGCAACCTTACTTTGTAACAACCTGTTCTCAGGACAATGACCCAGTCACTGCTTCCAAACAGCAGGAATCCATTTCTGGGGTGAAACCCCACTAGCTAACTGCCATCTGCCATACACCAACCTTCCAGCACATGAAATCTCGGGGGACAAACTGTATTTAGATTATAATTTCTTATAGTTCTGGTGAAACAAAATAGAGGTACTTCCCTAACATTGTGAATTCAATTTAAATATATACACTGACAGATTTGTTGGGGTAAAGCTGTCTGTACCTCGGGTACCTAAGACAAGACCACTGTTTCTCATGAGTTTGGACAAGCTCAAACTCATGAAGTGTGCTCTGTTCATTTGACCATCACTTGAAATAATATAGACAGTTTCCTCTCATTCCCTGCATAGTCACAAAGGCATGCTGTACTGCTAAAGATTAGATATTCTTTTCTAATATTTTGAGCTCCTCTTAAACTCTCCACAAACTTACTCATATGCTGATTCTATAAATACGTGATTATTGTTGTCGCTGTTGTTTTGGTGCTGGGAATCCAACTCAGGACCCTGTGCTTGCCAGGATAATTGAATGAGTAAATGTGCCACAGGTGCTGAGAGTTCTTCTCACCCATAAGGTAAGAGAGCTCCACCTGACCTCAGCCTTTGTCTATTGATTCTTGTCTTCTTCATTCCTCATCATCTTCCCTCTAGAATTTCAAGAGCTTCACTGAAAGTGACAGTCTGGCACCTAAAACAGGAACTGGAGTACAAGGAAACTCATTACTTCACAGGTCAGGGGACATCTCGGACTGCATGTGCAAACAAGGGAGAGAAGTGTATTGATTTCATCACATGTAAAATATGGGGCCTTTGTACATAGAAATTCTTGTTTTATTATTAAAAGCAAAAGGTTCAAATATAAAGATTTCATATCAACAGTTTCTCATGTTTGTAAAAAAGATATGTTGTCTATTTCTAGAAGAAGGAACTATAAATTTCATACTTGAGAGGTGTTAGGAAAAGAGCTTAGAGCAAGGCTAGAGAAGAAAAAACAGCACAGATCTATCTAGCTCTCTACAGACTTTTAAAGGGCTATTTAATGGGGGGAAAATAATACCTTCCACTCTTCTCACCACTTATTACAGACCCTTAGGCAGAGGAGAAACACAGCTGATGGGCACAAGCCAGCAGCAGGAGGAGAAAAACAAAGAGCTCCACCAAGCCTGAAACCTGGCCAGGATAAAGCAGGTCAGAGGAACCAAAACACCTGTTTTCAGTTGTGCCAGCCACAGTGGGGAGTATTGGCTATGTGCTCTGGCTGGGGCACCCAGTGGCAACTGCACCCCTGTCCCAAAGCCTACGGACAGCCATGACTTGCCTTTTCGGAGCCTCAAGTAGCCCAGAGTGCACCTGTGCCCACCCTTTCTTTCAAACACATAGGGCTGCTGCATCTCCATCAGAAAGGTCAGGTTCTACTTGGTCCCAGCTCTACCTTCAGTATGTGTCTAATTTTTCCATAATCTCCCATCACTGCATCAGCCTCTCATAGGAAACTTTTTGGCTGTAGTCATAGCAAGCCAAGAGCGAGGGGACGTGGAATGCAGCCCCAGCAAAAGACAACTCCCAGACACCAGCAAAAGCAGTCTACAAGTGGTAATAGTAACTCAAATTACATTGAGTCTTACAGAGAAAATGCTATTAGAAAAAAAGGCATGAGCATATGGCAGGGCTGTGGAGATGAATGAGCTGTAAGCCACAAAAAGAACATGAAAGTTGCCAATGTTCTTAACACAAAATAAAATGCAAAAAAAGTTATTATAGACAAAAGGTTCTGACTGCTTCCAAATTCTTTTTATAAGAGATCTCTGCTAATTGACAAAAAATTCTAACTGATCTATTTATAATTACAATCTTCTGAAACTATAAATGAGTTATTATAATTCAATATGGCCAAAAATTAGACTACACTCTGATTTTTTAAGCAAATTGTGTATTTGTTTGTTATATGTCTGCATTCAAACTGTAAATAGCTGGTTTATTTGAGCTCAACAAATTTCATTTTACTTTTTTTTATTTTTGAAACATTTGTCTGTAATTTAATTTGGCTTATAGATAAATATCACCAAAATTAAAGAAATACTTCCACCCAAATTGCCAGCTGGTCAACATGATGTTAAAATTAATTTTATAACCATAATGCATATTGTTCATGTATTATGACTTGAGTATCTCCTAGTTCAAAAATAGTGTGTCAAATGCTGTGATCTGGTTCTCATAAGTCATCAAATATTGTTAAGATAATTAAAGAGAAAATCCTTGGGCTGAGGTAAACTGTGTGACAGGACTCCAACTGATGAATAATAAAGCAGCTGCCTAGAAATAATTATCCAGTCCTGGTTCTTTAATGGGAAGCCCCAATGATCTTTATAGCACTATGGGAGACACCCTAATCAATGTTGCTCAAATTATATTGTGATATGTTTATACTGATCATTGTTATAGGATCAAGTTTTCTAGAAATAAGACAACAGGTTTTCTAGTTTAAAGATTTTCTGGTACAAAGGTAAATTGAAAAACAAAAGTTTTCATATGGCTATGATAATTGTTGTTAATATCATATATTAAATGCATTCATACCTTCCACATATACACAGGCCTTCTAAAATGTAAAACAGAGACTGTTTATGGTGGTAAGACTTTTCTGTCATATTCAAACATCTGCCTTTCTTGTGTGCTCCAGATTTTGTGTGTGTGTGGTACTAGGGTTCGAACTCAGGACCTTGTACTTGCCAAACACACACTTATTCCACTGAGCTATCTCCCCGGTCCCCATCCACTTTTTTTTTTTTTTTTTTTTTTGTCTTTGTGTACAGTCTTTATTTTAAATATTTGTTAAAGCACCATGAGTGCTCCTTAGGACATAGTAATGACTGCCCCCTACAGAAACAGGCTATGTACAGAACTTTACAGAACACAGGCAACACGAGCTGTGGCCGGCTGCTAAGCAGAGAATGCAATTCGAGGAGAGAAGAGAAGAGGAAGAGCCCCTGTGAGTCAACTTCAGCTGCCATCAGAGTGTATCTTGTGCTGGTCACAAACTACTGGTTCTCATTTTGGAGGGTCTGGCTACAAGTGTAGGAATTTCATTTCCCTGTCGGGCTACAACCCTGGCTGAGGTGCCATCAGATCAATGTCACTCAAGTTCCTGGCCAGCCAAACTCCTGCAGCAAAGAGTCCCAAATTGAGGATCAAGTTCCTCCAGAAGTCATTCTTATCGGTGGCAAAGCGGCAGATGCCCCACAGTCAGTCTCCCATGTTGTCAAGAATTTCGGGGGTTTCATTTGCCAAGCCAGCAGCGCCCACCAGGACCCCGCTGGAAGCCATACCAGCACCTCCGACCCATCCAAATATTTTTGATATGAGGTTCATATCAATCGAAGATGAGATTACCAGTCAGATAGTATTATTTTAACAAAAAATTATGTGATATGTATGCTATGTATGTGCCACTGCACTTAGAGATACTTAGACATTAAACAGTCTGGAATACATCATACTCTTCAATGACATCCTGTTAAAGGACAACAAAGTAGGTGAGAGCTTCTTAGATACTAGGAAGAGATAATTCAAAAAAAATTATGCTATGTCAATATGGCGATTTAAGTGTGTTACAAAAATGTCATCATGATTGTAATGCTGAGATTTTTCTGTATGGCTTTTGATGTCAATTTTGCTCCATAAAACTATTGCTAACATTCTACAGTGATTCAACATCCATGATTGGAAAAAAAAATTTCTCTAGCTATATTTTATATTTCAAAGTGCTCAATTTTCCAATAAAATTATTATAGCTAAACTCACTGCTCCCATTGCAATGCTGATTTCATTAATCTTTTTCTCTGGATATTCGACAGCTAAGCTCTGGAGAACAAAAACTAGGAAGCTAGGGGGACTGTGAGGACAGCCAATATTTTGGCCCTCGCCCCCCAAGATATGAGGATATGAGAAAACCTTTTCTGTAACAGCCTACAACACTACAGAGTTATGCAACCTCCTGACCAAGGAGATTGGTGAGCCCTGGAACTAAAAAAATACAGTGACTAATAATTTTTTAAAATATATAATGTATCAAAAGAGGGTCACTAGAGAAAAATCTCCCAAGCTTTCACAAAAAAAAAGCAATTTTGTCATACAGAGGCTGTGACTCAGTCAGATAGCTGACACTGACAAGAGAACTGAGAGGCACTATACAGTTCCACAGTAAATTCTGAGGAGACTTAACTGACCTTTAACTGATAGATAGCAAGAGGTTAACTTTCATTAATATAAGTTGCAGTTTAACTTGGTCTTAAACATCCAACAGAAATGTATAACCAGGAGATATTTGAAACAGTGTCACATTAACAAGTTAGATATAGGAAAGGACTCCAATCACTAACACTTCCTGGTAGTCTAAAGCTACACTAATAGTTAACCACTGTTGTGGTTTATTGATTTAGAAGGTCACTATACAATCTATATAAGCTCAGCAAAAACCTTCAAATTCTTTAGGTAAAATTGGCTAAAGCTAGAGACTTGTGGTAAAACATCAGACTCCGTTTATAGAGAAATTTAAGAGACAGTGAGTTACAATCACTATCCTAGTCCCATAAAAAGTTTCTAGACTTGGCTCTTTCTCAAACCTGCTTTTTTATTTGTAAAATTCATGCTGTAATTATACATGCTCTAATTTCTCAAAAAGTTGTTCATTCTTGCCTATAGGCCACCAAACTCCAAGTGATTATATAGACACTATCAACAATAAATATGCGATCCGGTGTCCGCCCGCCCTCGGCTCCGCCGCCTCCGAGATGCTGTCCCGGACTCGCTGCGTGTCCCGGGCGTTCAGCCGCTCGCTCGCCGCCTTCCAGAAGGGGAACTGCCCTCTGGGGAGACATTCCCTGCCTGGGGTCTCCTTATGTCAGGGACCAAGTTACCCTGACAGCAGGAAGATTGTCATTGACAGTAGTAGCATCTTCAGTGTTCGATGCTTTAGAACTACAGCTATGTGCAAGGATGATGTGATTACAGTCAGTACCCCAGCATTTGCGGAATCTGTCACAGAGGGAGACGTCAGGTGGGAGAAAGCTGTTGGGGACACAGTTGCAGAAGATGAAGTGGTTTGTGAAATTGAAACAGATAAGACGTCTGTGCAGGTTCCATCACCAGCACATGGTGTGATTGAAGCTCTTTTGGTCCCTGATGGAGGAAAAGTTGAAGGAGGCACCCCTCTCTTCACACTCAGGAAAACTGGTGCTGCTCCCACTAAGGCCAAGCCAGCTGAAGCTCCTCCTGCAGCCCCAAAAGTAGAGCCTGCAGTGTCAGCAGTTCCCCCTCCCTCTGCTGCCTCCATACCTACTCAGATCCCCCCTGTGCCCTCCCCCTCTCAGCCTCCTGCTAGCAAACCAGTCTCTGCAGTTAAACCCACAGCCGCACCTCCCCTAGCTGATCCAGGAGCTGGCAGGGGTCTGCGTTCAGAACATCGGGAAAAAATGAACAGGATGCGGCAGCGAATTGCTCAGCGTCTGAAGGAGGCCCAGAATACGTGTGCCATGCTGACCACTTTCAATGAGATTGACATGAGTAACATCCAGGAAATGAGAGCTCGGCACAAGGACGCTTTCCTAAAAAAACATAACCTCAAACTGGGCTTCATGTCTGCGTTTGTGAAGGCCTCGGCCTTTGCCTTGCAGGAGCAGCCGGTTGTAAATGCAGTGATTGATGATGCAACCAAAGAGATCGTGTATCGGGACTACATTGACATCAGTGTTGCGGTGGCCACTCCTCAGGGTCTGGTGGTTCCTGTCATCAGGAATGTGGAAACTATGAATTATGCAGATATTGAACGAACCATCAGTGAACTGGGAGAAAAGGCCCGAAAGAATGAACTTGCTATTGAAGATATGGATGGTGGTACCTTCACTATTAGCAACGGGGGCGTGTTTGGCTCGCTCTTCGGAACACCCATCATCAACCCTCCTCAGTCTGCCATCCTTGGCATGCACGCCATTTTTGACAGGCCAGTGGCTGTGGGTGGCAAGGTGGAGGTGCGGCCTATGATGTTCGTGGCACTGACCTACGACCACCGGCTCATTGATGGCAGAGAGGCTGTGACTTTCCTCCGAAAAATCAAGGCAGCAGTAGAGGATCCCAGAGTCCTCCTCCTGGACATTTAGGAGGAGGCCACACGCCCTACGAATCAATCGTGCAGGAACTGAAAGCCAGACTTCTCCCTGTCCCCCACGGGTCCCAGGCAGGCACCTCCTATTGGCCGCAGGCAAGGAAGCCAGGGCACTGTGTAACCAGCATCACAGATCTTTTGTTATCGCAGCCAGACTCTCACACCCTTCTCTTGCCTTCAGATACCTTCTCGCTTAGGCTTGAGAGAGAACTGTAGCGGATGCTCATTAATATTCTCGCTTTTCTTTTGTTAGCCCTCCGCAAAGATGATTTTGCCTCTCCCCACTACCATGTACCATAGTGAAACCACTGGGGACCATGTGACAGTTTCCATCTTTCCTGGCTGTGTACATGCTCACCAGATGCCACCTGTGTGGAGGTATTGAATGCAGGCAAAGAGCTGCTGCTTTGCTTCTTGAATGGCAACGTCATCTCCAGTTGTCACTGACTTCAAGATGCCTCTTCTACCTCTTCCAGGAAGCACAGGCCAGGGGAATGCGGGTGGGGGCTATGCTGGCGGGGGGTGGGGCAGAGTCCCCATGAAGTCACCACAGTCAGAG